ATAGGGAGGAACTAATGCCTTATATAGAGCCACTACCTGACTACAAGGATCCTGGGCAGACTGAATTGAAGACGTACATGGGAAGGGATCCATGACTTATAGATGCGCTAGAAGTATGATGAAGTGACAGTCACCTATAGGCTCCCGGCCTGCCAGAGATCTGAGCTGGAGGGCAGCACCATTACCCTGAAGCCCACTCCTTTGGCCAGTCCCACCAACAGTTGCCCTCCTTACCCTCCCATCCTGCAAGGTACAGCTGACCCAAAGGAGCAGAGTTTCAGCAAGCCTGCCATTTCTACATTTAATTCCTACTCTGAGAACAGTCAGAGCAGCAGCACAGAAAACCTGTGGCCTGAGGGGCCATGGAGCCCAACGAGATAATGCAGGATGCGGTCAGATGCTGGGTGCCAACAGCTGTGGGTGGGAACTGAGCTGCCGTGGGTGCATGGCCCGCCTTCGAGAGGACTTCAAGCAGTGGAGGATGGAGGTGTGCAACTTGCCTGGCCTTTGCTCATGGGGTTCAGATGAAAGGATGTTTGGCACCTCCATGGCCTTCAGAAGCATAGTCTCCAAGATAACTGGCAGCTTAAAGGACTGCCCTAGGGCCACCCGGGAGACAGGAGGAGAGGCTCGGGGCTCCTCCCCTCCATGTCGGTGCACTTCTGAGTTGAGACTGTTGCCCCGGGCATTTCTCCTCTTCCCTGCTCTTCCCCATCGTGTTCTGTGCTTGTGGGGGAGGGGAAGTGGCCCTGTAGAAATAGACACAATCCAAAAAAATGTGCTGATTTATTGTGTTTAAACATAATTGTTTTAAAAAAAAAACCTTCAGGAGGGAGGGAAATAGCTCAGTGGTAGAACTTATGCTTAGCATGCACAAGGTCCTGGGTTCAATCCCCAGTACCTCCATTTAAAAAATATATAAACAAATGAAAAATACTTTGCTTTATTGCTACAGCTGTCACAAGGCCCTCATCTACCACTTGGCAAGAGGAGCGCCCTGAATGCTTCAAAATTCGCTTGTGACTCAAATGGAAAAACAAGACAAAACCAAACCAAACCACTTTCCTTGGGGAAACTGAAACCTGGTGAAGCCATCCTAAGAATAGGACAAATGTCAGTGGACTGTAAAGGGAACATTGGAGCTGTGACACTGGCTTTTCTTGCTGGGAAAGCAAGGTCTTAGGATCACATCTATATGATAAATATTGAGGCAACCACTTCAGTATTTATAAGCTTAAGACAATGACAATCTATTCCCTCTCCTGGGGCCCCAACCCTAACTGGGGAATGATCACTGGTCTCTTCTGTTAGCTCCAGACTCACCTTCTTCTTGGACCCTTTTGCTCCCCTTCAACTTCCTCCTCTCCACCCTGGGTCACCTATCCCTCCTCCCCCAAATAATCCTGTCTTTTTTTTCTTTTTTTTAAGTTTAAAGAGCATTTCTTTTTATGTTTTGAAGATTCCCCCCTCCTATTTTATTGAGGTATAATTGAAGTAAACTAAACTGCACAGATTTAAAAAGTGCAGCTCTATCAGTTTTGACATACATACATACACCCATGGAACGACAACACCCCAAACAACACTTCCATCACTCCCTTCAAAGTTTCCTTGTGTCTTTTTTTAATCCATTCCTTCCTCCCATCCCCAAGCAACTGCTGATCTGCTTTCTCTCTACAGAGACTAGCTTATATCTTTCAGAGTTTTGTATAAATGGAGTCATGCAATATGTTCTCTGTTTTTTTAATCTGGCTTCTTTCATTCAGTATGATTTTGAGATTCTTCTATATTTGTGGCTATTAATAGTTTGTTTTTATCACTGAGTAGTATTCCTTCATATGTATATACCACAATTTGTTTATATACTCTCTACTGGTGGATTGAGGTTGTTTCTGGGTTTTGGCTATAACGAAGTTCCAATTAAAATCCATGTACAAGATTTTAGGTTTTATGCTTTCATTTCTCTTTGGTAAATACCTACAAATGGATGGTTGGGTTGTATGGCAGATGTATGTTTAACTTTTTAACAAACTGCCAAACTGATTTCAAAAGTCACTGTACCGTTTCATGCTCCCACTAGCAATGTATGACAGCGTCAGTTGCTCCACATCTTCATCATCATTTGGTGTGGTCAGTCATTTCAAATTTAGCCATCCTGTTTTGGGTTTTTGTTTGTTTCAACGCACAGTAGTTTAGCTGCCGTTTGACTTCATTTCTGAAAGAGGGAACATATGCTTAGGTTTACAGGGAATAAAGCTAGGTTATACCTGTTGTGATGGTGAAGTCAGTAGTGGCCCCCTTACCCTCTAAAGTGTCCTGACCTGGTTTGGATAATACAATGTGTGGTTTCTCTACTTCTAGCCCAACCAGCAAGGCTCCCAGGCTGTCCATCCACAGCCATGAAGGCCCATTAAGGCATTCTGATCAACAAAGATCTTTCCTTCCTCTACCATTTTCTGTTTAAACATTTTCTTCCCTTATCACAACAGGACTGCAGGAGGAAAGGAGAGGTATAATGTAGCTTAGTGCTGGAGCTGGGGAGCCAGAGGAGGAGATAGATGGAGGGGGTCAGACCAGGTCCTGATGACATCATTTGAGCTGGATGCAGTCACACACGACACAGGTAAGAGCTATTCCTTAACTTTTCTGCACAAGAACCCAGAAATCCCCCCCACCCCTTTTTGGTCTAGTTTGACTTGGATTCCTGTCACTGGCAATTAAGAGTCCTGACTAGTATATACACAATCAGAAAGGCAACAGAATTTTGCCAAGCCTTTTCTGGCTCTCATTTCACATCTGAAATACTTCTGCCTTCCCTGAGAGTGAGTTTTTGCTGATCTAGCCTGGGAAATTTAAAGCCAGAGCATCGGTCACATTGTTTGGGGATGAAACTTCAGAGGTCACTGAATACCCAGTGTCAAAGTATTCAACGGTATCACCACATGGTTTGTTTAACCGAGTATTCCAGCTTCGTGTATTCAATGTAATGTAGAAGGCTTTTTAATCTTTAACCAAATTGTCATTTAGTACTATGATCCAAAAACTGTTCTGAATTTGGGAAGTAACCTCCATTTCCAACTAGCATGTTCTTCCTTCTTAATGACTAGATTTAATACTTATAGAAAATATCTGTATTTACTCGGAGCGCTGAACAGGCAAAGAGCAGCGCTGCAAGTGACCTAGGCGAACACATCTCTAATCGGTGGTGCGAGCTCCCTCCTAGTAGCACAATGAATTGCTCGCGTTGTTTTTTTGAGGACATCTCTCTGTAAGCAGTGCAAGGGTAATACTCTGGTGGAAGAAAAGAGGAAGCCGAAAGTAGGGGGCAGACGTTAGAAAGATTCATTCAGTCCTTTCTCGAACATTCTCAGACAGAACTGAGAGAGGCCCCTGAGCCGCAGCGGTGCCCCCCGCCCCGATAGAGAGTGCCCTATCTCTGTCCCCACGCCCCAAACACGGACTAAACTCGGGCTGGCGGCCCGGCAGCGCCTGCCGCGCCCCTCGGTGCCGCCCGCCGAAAAGCAGCCGATCAGGTCTCGCCTCGGGCGAGACTAGAAAGCCCCCATCCCGCACAACCAGCCTTTGATCCACGGTAGCAACACAAGTTTAGGAGCAGCCGCCACCAGTACAGCTTCTGGGTGACCCGCCGCTGCCGCTATGGCGTCGGCCCCGCCTCCTCCGTCCCTAAACCCCGCCTCCGCGCTCCCGGGCCCCGCCCCCTAGCTATGGCCCCGCCTCCTCGCTCCTCCCCCACTACCCCCCTTCCGTCACCACCCCTCAAGCGCTCCGGTCAGCCCTCTCGCAGCATAGCCCCACCTCTTACACTTCTGGGCCGCGCATTCCACCGTCTCGAGTCCTGTCCCCGCCCCCGCGGCCCGTGTCCCCGCCCCTCGCGCTCCAGGGCC